GTGTGCTGCTACTAGTGACACTTAATATTTCCTCTTGTCACAGTGGCCTTTTCAAGCCCTCTCTCAAACATCCAGTCTTCGTGCTTGAAAGGAGGGCGACATTATCCATTCTACAGATGGGTTTAAAGAGAAACACCGACTCACCCAAACCTGTAGTGTCAGGGGCAGATGAGGCTGTAGAGGGTGTGATGGCCTCTGAGCCGCGCTGCTACTAGTGACACTTAATATTTCCTCTTGTCACAGTGGCCTTTTCAAGCCCTCTCTCAAACATCCAGTCTTCGTGCTTGAAAGGAGGGCGACATTATCCATTCTACAGATGGGTTTAAAGAGAAACACCGACTCACCCAAACCTGTAGTGTCAGGGGCAGATGAGGCTGTAGAGGGTGTGATGGCCTCTGAGCCGCTTGACACAGGTGTAGCACTCTTCTAGGTTTCCTGTGTTCTTTAGCTGATTTATGCAAACAGACTGGACTGGAGTTCACAAATGAACAACCTCCACATTGCAAGGAAGGGTGATTAACCGGAGAACTGGTTTATGCATCGTCATAGGAAAAACATGTCCCTGTACTTGCTCAGTATTCTGGGCCAGAGCCAAACTGTAGCTTGATTAATAGGGCTCTATCTCCATCTTCCTCTCCAGAAAATTAAAGAAATCACATACATGCACTCGGAAGGTATAATGGCTGGTGAGCTGAAACATGGTCCCCTCGCCCTGGTAGACAAACTGATGCCTGTTATCATGATCATCATGAGGGACCACACGTATGCAAAGTGCCAGAATGCTCTCCAGCAGGTTATTGCACGGCAGGTGAGTATTCAGAGATGGACACGGCTGGGATCCTGCACAATCTAGATGTTTAAATTGCTCCTTTTGTCAGTAAAAAGCTCAAGAAATGTTCAGATTGGGATCACTAGAACTGCTTTAAGCAGTTGTACGGTGCCCCTGAAAGGGTTCCTTTGTGAATGCCTGTTCCAGGCAAGCAGTAACAACCAATGTTGCTGCTAATCTTTTCTAGCCACGTGCAGAATAAATTGTGTATGTGCACCAAGGCATGTGAGAATGTGCACCACCAGTAGAAACAAAAATCTAACTGTGGGTGGTCTGCTAAGCAGATGGGCAGCATTTGAATCTGAGTGGCTACACAAGCATACAGGGAAATCTGGTAATAATTTTGTTCCCATCTAACGAGTGTTCAGTGATGTCAGTCTGGTTAGGCTAATGCTTAAAATTGGATTCTGAAGTCTGTTGGGGCTTTTAAGTGGCAGTTTCTATAAGAAACATAAAGGTAATAGTCTAGAGTGTGGCTTATTAGTTTAAAGAGGTTTGTTTATCTTGAATTTCCAAAGCTGTACAATGTGAACTGTTGTGAAGGAAGAATGCAACCTTTTAAAAAAATGAAATAATATTACTCTCCCTCTATATGCAAGCCCCAAGTAATGAAGGAAAATGCTCAGTGTTTTTAAAGACCAATAGAAGAAACATTTTCCTTTACATTTTAATGACCGGAGTTTTAAAAATACTTTCTCCACAAATACAGCAGCATTGTGACCCAAACTGTCCCCTTCATTAGCATAGAGAGTAGAATTTGCACAGTAAAAGAGAGGCAGTCCTGCATGTTGAACACATAAAATTGCCTTTCCCCCAGGCTTGTGAGAGAGATGCACATCCTAAGCTGTAAGGCCTTGGTGCTACTGCTGATCATATAAATTTGAAGAATTTGCAAGAATGCTGTAGAGTCTTCCCCATAAAAAGTCACCTCTAGTAAGGCCAGGGACCAGACACCATCCCTCGCATGCCCCAAATTTTAGACTCACCTATCGGAAGGGGAGGAGGAAGAGCAACCGCTTGGATTATGGTAACTGAAATACTATTGCTCGTCTCACTTGCAAGGTTCCTGCCCTTCTTGATCAGTGGAAGTTTTGCCAGAGATTTCAGCAGAAGCAAAAAGGGGCCCTATCATGAGCATTGTGCATCTCGTTCTCTCTCTCTGCCTGATACTTACTGGCCCCTCTCTTCCTTCCAGGGACGACCGGTAGTGATTTGTGATAAGGAAGACACAGAGACAATTATGAACAATAAGAGGACAATCAAAGTTCCTCATTCTGTGGACTGTCTGCAAGGAATCCTGAGCGTGATCCCTTTACAGCTTCTGGCTTTCCACCTTGCAGTGCTCAGAGGCTATGACGTAAGTACTAACCTACCTTTAACGCCCTCCTTTATGGTGTACACACTGTCCAAACTTCAGCAGTCAATCTGTTCTTCTGAACAGAACCCCAAGAAGTTCGGTAAACTCATTCGCACCTTTAATCTAACACAGATTTCATGATCAAGTCATTGGAGGAACAGTTACTGCAGAATTAAGTGACATCTGTCATTAACATAAAACAAACACGTTTCCTGCTTTATAACACTGGCTACTCCGTTTTCGGAACCTGGACCTCTTCGCACAGTGCAACTAGAAGTTAGATCTGCCATTCCTTGTTAAAAAAGCCAAATTATGGCTCAGGTATTGCTACCATCCATACCCAGACTCCTGCAGAAATATTTTGCAGATCCAGGACACTTTACGAACTTGATCACAATCACTCCTGCAGGTTTTGCAGAATGTTTCCACAAAGCTGTCTTCCCTTCTGCATTTCTCATATCTCAGGGCACAACTGCACAGAGGCTTTGTGCACAGCAAGTCGGGCAGTATTTCAGAGTCCACACAAGCTACTTAATGTATGGCAGCTCCAGAGCTGTCGATCCACTTCCTGTCTTGTGTGGACAAGCCCTCAGTGTGCAGGAAACTAAGTTTATCACTTGAGCTAGATCAGGGACCAGAGAAGTTTCCCGTTTTCTTATTTATTAACAGTTCTCTCAGCTGAATTACTGTTTCCACTGTGCTCTTAACAAAACTACACTCAAGTGGTCTGTTTCCTACTTGAAAACCCTAGTAAAGAATATTTGAATGAAAATTCACACTTTGTGCGTGTTTCAGTTTGAGAAAATATTTTTCAAAGTGCTATAAGTTTGCAGACTTGTAAGAGTTAACAATCTTACATGACATACTTATGTCCAACATTCAGTACCAGGGCTTGATTCCCCTTTTTAAGGCTAAAATTGTAAAATTATTTTAAACTACGGAAGACTGAATAGTTCCTTGCAGTAATTTGTCTTCTCCGTTCTTTAAAAATACCTGTGTGACTGTGACCAATCCTTTATGCCTCAGTTTACACATCTTAAAATAGATGTATTAAACCTCTCTGAAGTAAATAAATAGTTTAAGCCTATGCAGCAGAGGCCTATGAAAAGCAATTTTGCAAACTGGTTTTTTTTCATTATACTTATTTACTTGTTTGGACAATAGCCTTTTAACAGATGCCAGCAACTTTAATATTGACTTATCTTAAGTGGCCTTTCATGAAGTGTAAAATACAATATATGTGGTCTTGCTTACAAAAAATCATTTTTTTCTCTTACAGGTTGATTTTCCAAGAAATCTGGCCAAATCTGTAACTGTTGAGTAAAAGCACCTCTGAATCTTAAGGGCATGGGGAAGTAAATGAAGAGACTTTTTTGGTACTAGAATACCTTAATTTTTAAAGTCCCCTAGATCAAATCTTCTTTTGCTAAATCATTTGTGTATCAAATCACCATAATTGTTACATTAGTGATTGTCAAATTGCTTCCATATCACTAGCTTTGTGTTGTTGAACGATAAGATTTTCATGACAGGTGTTACCTAGAAGACTTGGTAATCTTCTAAAGAAAGCAATTGGAGGGATTTTTTAATTTAAAGAGATAATTTAGATATAAGTGAACCTCACTGATGTATCTGCAGTGCCTTCAGCAAGTGAAGGGGCAGGCCACCACATGATATTAAAATTAAAGCTGTAATTGCCCACGAATGAATATACTGAACTTAGATCAAATTCTTCCCTGTTTACATAAAGGAAAATCCAGTGACTAATCAGCATCTCCCTTTACATCTTTTTAGGTAATTTGGTTAGTGGGCCTAAAATTAGCCTCCGAAAGGATCTTATCTAAATCAAATGCTGAGCAGCTGACAATCCTGCCAAGTGGGGCAAAATCTGTTCTTAGACAACGACTAAGGAGTAATTGCAATTTAGTCAGTGGAACAAGTGAGCAGCATCTGACCCAGTTCTGGAGAGTTTACCAGAATAGAAGGTACGCTGGCACTGTTCAGAGGCCCGGGGAAGAGGAATCAGTTGCTCTCACATGAGCGCTGTAACACTAAAGAGAATCCCAATTTAGGTGCTGGGCTTATGTTGCTGCTGCTAATGCGCTGCTGTTGTGAGCAAGTGTAATTTAGAACATGAACAAAAAACTTGCTCTAAGAACAGGATCCTTGTGTGTTTCAGCCTTCCTGCTTACTCCATTCCATGTGTGCTCACACAAAGGCAGGGACGGCGCTAAATGTAGGCTTGCTACACTTGATAGCATCCCTGAATATCCTTCATGGACTGATGTCTTTGTTTGACTGTTGGGAGAATTGCAGGGAACAAATTCATGGCTTTCATTTTCATTGCTGCAGCTGTTTGGTTGGGTTTTTTCTCTTAGTGCTAGTGTCAGCAGCTAGCTTCAGAGTGGTGTAGATTTCAAGAGTAAGACCAGTTGAAATCTAGGGAAATAAACAGAAAGCTTCGGTCACAAGACCACAAAAGCTGTAAGTAGCCTGCATTGGACTAAAAGCAGATGGTGTTAAATAGCAATGGTCTCTCGGACTCAAACAGCCAGAGTTGCACAGAAGGTAGATAAAAAACACAGCACTGAAAGTGAAGCCTGTAGCTTATAATTCTTAATGGCACACTTAAGGTCACCTAGCCATATTTAGTAATTTTTTTCTTCACAAAATGTAATATTTTGAGCTTGTAGACTTGCTCTGTTGCCAGAGCGACTGTCTGATATTAGGGTAAGACCTTGGTTGTCTGAGCGAGTATTCTGTAGTCTGTTGCTGAATTGCATAATCCAGACTGACTCGGAAGACAGTTGCCCAAACTCAAGTGGATTCAAAAGAACCATGACTGGACATACTTTAAAGTTCTTACCAGTTCAATACGAAAATGTAGGAGCTGGTCACAGCTCAGTTTTACCATCTTAACAAGAGCCAGAAGCCATTCCATGAAACCAATAATAAGCGGGGACTTGATTTTTCTTTAAATGACAGACTTGAGTACAGTTATTAATGCATTGGATGTGGGCCATTTATTGTGTTCAGCTGCTAATTTGTATTTAGGAACGAAATAGTAAATATAGCAATGTAATTCCTACAGTATTTGCTTATTTCAGTAGATGCAAATTCCCCAATACATCTTAGCCTAACCTGGTGATGGAGTCTTCCCCACAATGATTTATGAACAAGCAACTTTTCTGGTGTAGCCAAGTACTTAGCTAAAGACAGCCAGGTCTCTTCTTCCTGCCAACCCTCTTTCCGAGGCAACCTGCCTCTGCTTATATTAGCTGTTAAACTTGGAAGGACTGACGGGTAAAGGGTGAATGTGCAGGCTGATATCCCTGTTCACAGTGATTCTAGGGTAAATGAAACCCTAAGAGGGAAGCATTCTGGGTACGCTCTTGTGCCCATCGATTTCCTGGCGAGGAATTGATTTGGAGGTCATTTTCCCTAATCAACTCTGTGGAAAATTAGCTAGAATTGCTTGTGTCTAGGCTTGTACAGATGAGTTTTTATTGTAGAAGTAGGGCAGCTGCTTCTCTGCTGGCATAAGAAGTAATATCCTAGATATATTCTAAATATGAATTGCTACATGGTAGAAAATCTGAGAACAGCAAGTGCTTAATATTTATGAAAAGAAAGTAGCTATGTTTGTATAAAGGACCAAAGAAACAAGATACTAAATTAAAGAGATGTAGATTGACAGTTTCTATACAAAGCTGTTTTACCTTGTGAGATTGTATAAATGTGGCAAAGTCAGTCACTCACTGGGTTTGAGGGTAGGATGGACAGCCCCTATTCATTATGAAGTCACGTAAGACTTACTGCAAAGACTTTTCATTAGTTAGTAATTGAGCAAATTAACCTCAATGATTAAATTCAGCTCGATTTTGTAAATTGCAGAGGACGAGGTTAAATCAGGAAACTGCATTAAGATCCGAAACTCAGCCTGGAAATGTTTTTGACTAGACTATCAGATATTGCAATGCATAATACGAATGTGACCGCTTAGTATCTAAGAATGTTATGGAACACACTCACTGTGAATAATTTTTTGAATGATTCTGGTATGATATCCTTAAAGCATTGCGTTACTGCCAATTGACATCCCAGTGCTGTGCAAGTGTACAGAGGATTTTCTCATCTTGCTTTTTATCTAGCTGTCTGACATTTTGATGAAACAAATGTTCTGTCCCCACCTCTCTTCTCTCTAGACTAGTTTGTTGTCCTGCTGCTAGCTGGAAGTTTTCAAATGTCTTGTGCTCTCTGAAATGAATGTTTCGATTACTGAGCCAGTAACATGAATTCCTTCCTAACTGATATATTAAAAGAAATTCAGTAGCCCTCTCCCTAAAATTGAGCCTCACATCCATCAAATGCATAGGCCCGCCCTTACTGTTTGTCTGAAAAGCATTTTTACTCAGTTGATGGATATTTTGTTTTAGTGCATATACTTGTCTCCTGGTCTACATGCATAAAAGCTTCAACAATAACTCCTCCACTGCTGCTATTTCAAGAGAAGAAATTAAAGGCTGTCTCCCAATTTAACTAAGCCAGAGTGTTTTTTAAACTTACAGAAATTCCATGAAAAATTGTCTAGTTCTAAGGACACTGCTCTTCCCTGTGGAAGTGTTAGTGTATTTGCTAAGCAGAGCTCGTTGTAGCTTACTCCTGGAACATGAGGCGGGTGTGTTGATACCAGGGCGTACAGTAGCAGAAGCACTACCCAGTGTGAGAGTGTTGCATCAAAGAGAGACAGGAGGTGCTGTGTGTGTTTAAAATCTTGACATTTACTGCTCCATCACATTTTAGCAGCACCATGCCATTTGGAACGTGCCCCACGGCTTAGTACGTCATGGGATTTGCCAGGTTGGGAAGGTTTTAACAAGGGATGTTAAAATCTGTTTTTGTAAACATGTAACTGCTGACCTTTTCAGTGATTGCAGGTTGACGTGGGGCAACATGGGGAGCAGGTGCTTGTGGGGATACAGAGGCAACAGTACAGGGAGGGGGAAGCTGCTTGTAACCCCGAGGGTTAACCATTGAGCCCAGACTCCTTCATTAGCCATGTACACAGGTACACGTTCACATCCCTAGTTTTAACTAGCACCTCTGGATGTGGGGGCGAAATTGTTCTGATCTGTAATTTGCTTGGAAGGAAAGCACGGATGTTGCGGATATTCTTTGGGCAGAACAATTAACCTCAGCTTTTCTGAACAGCAAGACCCAAAAGCAGCGCACCCGGACTCTGGTCTGTTCTACATTGTGCACCGATAAAGAAGTTGCCCTGAAAGAACAGTTTCCAATGTAAGATGAACAAACTCCAGCTAGAAATAATGGTGATGCGCTTCGGGAGCACGTGTGTTCTGTGAAATATCTTTGGTTGACTTAAAAGGCAAATTGTGTAATTAATTGCAAAAGGGGGCGGGGGAGTCGCAGCTTTAAAAACCTTTCCCCTGCTTGTATTTAAACTGCTGTAAACATGGAAGACGAAATGCACAGGAATGTTTGAAAATCCGAGTCAGTAAGTGTTCCAGAAGCACGTTGTAACCCAGCTCCATCCTGCTATGCTAGTTCACTGTGCTACCAAAGGGAGATGTGTTCCATTCAGGGCTATGATTGCAGCACTTTGGGGGCATGCCTGGATTGACAGAGCTATGGCTACACAAACCCACCCAGGACCCAAGTGCACCTCCTGCCGTTATCTCATGTCACTGCAGCTTCCCTATTAACGTTATTCAAGCTGGTGCGGCGCCGCCTGCGTGGGCTGCCTTCTCCGCGCGTTGCAGTGTAGACACACCCTGTGCCTGAAGATAGCGTTAGATGGGATGTTGAACTTCTCTTGAATAATCTGCCCTGTTCCCGAAGTTACCTGCTTGTCCGCTAGACCCCAGGCAGCCCTCAGAATGGAAGACAAAGGGGTCAGGGAACAAAGCAAGCCATGCTAAAACAGACTGTGAATGGTTGTGGAAATGGTTAGGTCCAGGCAAGTATCCATGGGACGTTTACCTCAAGGCACGGGATCCCTCCCTGTGCAAGAAAACTGACACGGGGAAAATAGTTGGTGTCTGTCTGAATTGAAGGCCAACTTAGTTTTCTTTGCTCCTTCAGAGCGTGTACATAGAAATGGGAAGTGGCAAATATTTCTTCCTTTCTCACGTTGTTTCTTTTGCGAGTACATATCAGCTGGCTTGGTTTATGGGGACCACTCTGTATCTTGCGTTCTGTTGTATGCTGTCTGCTGAAGAGGTTTTATGGTGTTGTGTAGTATTTTATAATTTGGGTTTTGTCTTTTTCTTACTTTTTGTGTGTCACCTTGGAATAAAACGAAGTGCCCAACGTGAAACAGAGAGATGTCATCTTTAGTTAAATCCATCTTCATTTCCATCGCATCAGATTTTTTTTTATTGCTAAAAAGATCTGCACTAACACATTAGTTGAAGGAGCATTAGTCTGTAAAAATGTTAAGTGAAGCAGAATATTCATTGCATGATTGAAGATCTGACTGGAGCCTAAGGTTCCCAGTACTGATTTAGGAATCCAGCTTCCCCCCCAGGCCACCAGGATGCCAGGACTTACCTTGATCTGCAGCGTCCATGTGTGTAGCAGTTACCATACTTCATCTTGCCCCTGAACTCAGCGCTCCAGGTGGGAGTAAAACTCTGCAATGGCCAATTACAGAACAGGCTACCCTATGAAAACTTCCTGCTGCACCATGTTGCTTACTGATGGGTTCATCTCCTGAAATGCTCCGTGAGCATTCGTATCCCTTCTAATCTAGCCATGCTCGTTATCCCTATTGTGATCTAGATTTAAAAGCCTGCGTTGCAGATGCCCAACAATTGAATGGATTCCAGGGGATGTAACAGTAGAAGTTTGGGGGCACATTTTGCTGCTGTTTACAAAGCTTCCCAGAAGTGGCTGATGCCGATTGAATCCTACCCTGTCACCGAAGTGTGGGGAGCCCCCAGGCCTGGCACCCCCATCTGCAGCCAGATGTGACCCTCGGCCGGCAGGTAGAACAGAAGGTTTGTTGATTCACGGCTGCTGCGCAGCACAGGAACCAGGAGCAGTCAGTCCATCCATCTCGGGGCGAAGGGCCCTGTTCCCCCATCCTGCTCCAGGCCCCCTGAGAGAGAGACCCACAGACTCAGCAACCGCTCCCAGCCTTCAGGCAACCTGCCTCCCCCTTTGTCTAGCTTCCTGGGCACAAGGTGTCACGGCCCCTCCCAGGCTCAGGTGATGGCAACCATTGCCCACCTGCTGGGCGGCATTCGCTCCGTGCGTCACACCCGAATCCCTAACCCCATCTAGATCGGGGACTGGCAACGCCATTCACAAACCTTTGGCAGACTGGTAACATTTGATTTGCATATTTTCATATTCATTATGCAAATAAAATGTTACAAGGCTGCCCAGCCCCTAGCTCCCCAGTGCCTAACACCCTTTGACCCCCACTCCTGTGCCCTCTGCCCTTTGACCCTTAACCTCTGATCCCTACAGTCTATGCCAACTCCCTCTTGCCCCATGACCCCACCATTGCCTCATGCATCACCCCTTTGCCCCACCCCACCCCCATGCTCACCAGAGCAAGGCTGCCCTCTCTAGGGAGCGTGACCATTACTGCCGTGTGAGCAGGGAGAGCAGCCCTCCCTCATGCCTCCTCCCTCCCCAAGTGTGTCTTGCACCCCCATGGGTGGGTGGGGGAGCACGCAGCCCTGACCAGCTGTCATGGGGGGGGGAGAAGGGAGGGAGATGCTGTGTGGGTGGGGGAGAGCGGGAATCGGAGCCCTGGGGAGGCGCCTTCTGCCGCCACTGGTGAAAATGGCTGCACAGGCAGGGGGAAAAGGCACTGGCAGTGTGTGTGCCCCTCTCCATCACACCCACCTCCCTCTCCAAGCCCAGAAGGAGGGAGCTGCCACCGTGGCTGCTAGAGGAGAACCGCTTGGAAAAGGTGGCTTGAGCTCCCAGAGCTGCCGCAGCCTGGCAACCAGCAGTGGGAACTGCTGATCTAGATAGAGCAGTGACCAGGCAAACACCTAGGCTACGTCTACACTGGCATGATTTTCTGGAAATGCTTTTAATGGAAAAGTTTTCCGTTAAAAGCATTTTCGGAAAAGTGCGTTTAGATTGGCAGGACGCTTTTCCGCAAAAACACTTTTTGCGGAAGAGCGTCTAGATTGGCAGGACACTTTTCCGAAAAAACACTTTTTGCTGAAAAGCGCCCGTGGCCAATCTAGATGCGCTTTTCTGCAAAAAAGCCCCGATCGCTATTTTCGCAATGGGGGCTTTTTTGCGGAAAACAAATCTTTGCTGTCTACACTGGCCCTTTTGCACAAAAGTTTTTCGGAAAAAGACTTTTGCCCGAATGGGAGCAGCATGGTATTTCCGCAAAAGCACTGACCATCTTACATGAGCTCATCAGTGCTTTTCCGGAAATTCAAGCAGCCAGTGTAGACAGCTGGCAAGTTTTTCCGCAAAAGCAGCTGATTTTGCGGAAAAACTTGCCAGTCTAGACACAGCCCTGGGGTTACTGAGGTCAGTAGAAGCCACATGAAGCAGACAGTGAATACAATCCCCACTTGGTCATAGCCATGCTCTTAGCCTCACCCAGCTCCATTCCTGGGGTAGCCTCTGTTGCCACTCCCAGGGTGGGTGAGACTTGAAGTGGCCACCCTGCACTCCCCAGGGGAATGCCTTAGCCCCTTGTCCACTCCAGAAGTCGGGCCACCTCCCTCCCTTCAGCGGGTCCTTTATCCTGCCTCTAATACTGGGGCCAGCCAGGGCCGGCCCGAGCCCTTTTGGCGCCCCGGCCTGGCCACTGCTGCTGGCTCATGTGCCAATGCAGGGCCCCACAGCTGTGGGGGGAAGGGTGCTGTGGGAGCCGGGCGCGTGGCGCCTGATGGCAGCTATAAGGGATGCCGCATGCCCCTTACAGCTGCCATTAGGCGCCCCCCATCGGTTGGCCCCTCGGGCAGCTGCCCGGCTCACCCATGCCTCAGTCTGGCCCTGGGGCCAGCTCCATCCCTGGGACAGCCTGTGTTGGCAGTGCTGTGGGGTGTCTTTGTACTTTGACTGCCCCAAGCCTTAAAATCTGGGTCCCTGTGATTCTCCAGAAACAGACAATCTGGCAATGCCGGGTGCGGGACACGGATCTGTAACTTCAGTGGGACAGGAGCAGGGAGAACAGGCACGGTACTTCTCCAAGGGCTGTTCTAGACTCAGATTGACAGGCTCAGGCTGGAATGGACCATCATGGACCTCTAGCCCAGGGGGGTTTCTACCTTTTCCCATTTAAAGCCCACAGAGCCTCACCCACCCTCTCCTGTCACAGACCCCTAACCCCAGGCTAAATTCTCAGGTCAGGAGTCCCGTTACAGAGAAGCCACCGTTTCCATGTGGGGTTCAGCCAGGCCAGGAAGGTGTAAAGCAGAGATCTCAGCCTCCTATCCAGCCAGCCATTCCAGGCTGGCGCAGTTGTGCAACCCAGCCTGGGGGGGGGCTGTCCATTCCTGTTCCAAGCGCTGCTCTCTTCCCCTCCCCCCCCCCACAAAAAGCTGGCTTCAGAGATTATGGGACTGTGTCTGGCACATGGGGGCAGCAGTGGTCAGGCCCTTCTCATTGCAAAGCTTGGGGAATGGAAACGAACAGCCTCTCCCCCTCCACCACCAGGACTCCTGAGCTAGAGAGTACAACCGCTCTGGCCAGGGACAGCTTGAGGGTGGTGTAAAGGGTGTTTGAAACAATCAAACCATGATCTCTGCTCTGCCCGGTTCAGATGGAGTGCAGCCTTCCTCTACTCAGCTGTTGGGTGGAAAATTGGCTCCCTAAGTTAGCAGCTGCTGGTTTTAATGGTCAAGTCGGTAACGTGCCCCCCACTCCTGAAGCCCTGCCAAACACATCTCTGCCCAGGCACAGGGGGCCGTGACTGGTTAGTGCCCAACCCCGCCTAGTCTGCACTCCTGGGCCAAGCCCGCACTAGCCAGCTCACCTGCTGGCCGGCAATCGCTCAGTGCTGCGTCACGGGGATGCTGCAGAGCTACGCCACTTCTGCCTCTGGGGATGGATCATCTGGGAGCAGAGGGATGTAGCAGCACCAGTCTCCCGCCCCGCAGCTCTTTCCACCTTCCACGTAAGTCCCTTAGGTTTAAACTGGAGCCAGCTCAAGGCTGCTCTAGATTAGGCTGTGGAGCAGCTGGAGGCAAGAGGGGAGCCCCGGTACCCCTGCTGCATGCACCCCAGGAGGCTTGGGCCATATTCTGCAGGGCCCCCCGGCCGCCCAGCATGGCCCCCCACCTGCCCAGTATGGCCTGGCTGTGGAAACAGGACAACGCTGCAGGGCAAAACACTGAGGCAAGTTCCAGCCTCTGGTCCCGGAGGGCGCGTCTACACTAGGAACTAACTTACTTTGACATAACGCCCCAAATATTCATTTCAAAGGAGCGTGTCCACACTAGAGGGAAGCCTCGAGCTGAGTCTGAGGCAGGATGCGCTACCCTGGAGCCCCGGGGACGCCTCGCTTTGAATGACTCTGGGGAGTTGTTAGTTGGAAATGGCGGCCCCGGCGTGTCCGCACTCCCGCTCTTTCAATAGCTTTTGAAATAAATGTCACTGCTCGTGGAAAGCAGGAGCTGTGATTTCGGAATAACGAGCTTGCCAGTGTGGACGCTCCACTTGTTATTTCAAAATCAGGGGAGCGATTCCCAAATAACGCCCTAGTGTAGACTGGGGCTGATGCTCCGTGCCTCAGCCAGGCATGTGAAGACAGCACAAGCAAGCGGCGGAGAGAGGCCGGTGGTTTGTACGGAGCTGCTCTCTGCAGGACTCCGCTACTTAGGGAGAATTTATATTATAGGAGCAGTTCCTTACGATCGTTCACATCAGAAACGGTTACCGGTAGCACAGTCCTCCAAGGGAGCAGCTCTGTACAAGCCACTGGCTCTCTCCTTGGCGGAATTACGGGCCTGGCCAGGTGGGGGGAGCAGCCTGTTTGGGTTCCTAGGGTGATTTCTGCCTGGACAGCCCCCCACCATGGGCGAGCAAGCTCTGGGCTTCGCCTCCTCTGCAGCTTGTCTGAGACATGACTCAGCCCCCTCTCTTGTGAGCCGCCACCGCAGGGTCTGTCCTGACAGCATTACACACCCTATACTGTTACCCCAGTGATCAGTCGCACAGGCTGATCTTTCCCTGGCTTCCTCTCCCAAGTGGGGCTTAATCCAACTTCGGCAGCCCTCGGGGCGAGGGGGCTGCCACGTGGCTCTCTGTGGGTCTGTCTGGCTGTGGGTCTGCTCCATGCTATGCATGCCACGGGGCAGAATTCGACTGGGACTGCAAACCCACTCAGCT